TGAATCCATGGGGTTTTCTAAATATAATATCATATCGGTGAAGAGTGAGAGTTTGATCTCATCTGCTCTGACTTGGATGTCCTTAATACCCCTCTCTTGCCTGATTGCTATAGCTAGGACTTTGAACACTGTGTTGAATAGGAGGGGGGAAAGTGGGCATCCTTGTCTAGTTCTGGTTCGAAGAGGGAATGATTTTAATTTTTCCCCATTTAGGATGATATTAGCAGTTGGTTAGTCATTAATGGATTTGATAAATTTAAGGTATGGGCTGTCTATGCCTATTTTGTTAAGAGTTTTTATCATAAAGGTATGTTGGACTTTGTCAGATGCTTTTTCTGCATCTATTGACAGAATCATATTGTCTTTGTTCTTTCTTTAATTTATAAAGTGAATTGCATTTATAGACTTGTGTATGTTGAACCAGCTTTGCATCCCAGGAATAAATCCCACTTGGTCATGGTGAATTATTTTTTTGATGTGCTGCTGAATTCTATTTGCTAAAATTTTATTTAGGATTTTTGCATCTATATTCATAAGGGATATTGGTCTGTAATTTTTGTTGTTGTTGTTGCATTCTTTCCTGGCTTTGGTATCAAGGTGATATTGGCTTTGTAGAATGAGTTAGGCAGAATACCATCCTTCTCAATGGTGAATAGTTCTGTAGTATAGCTATGAGTTTATCTTGTATATTGGTAGAACTCTGAAGTGTAGCCATCTGGCCAGACTTTTCTGTTTCTGGAGGTTTTTAATTACTGCTTCAATTTCTGAGCATGTGATTGGTCTGTTCAAGAACTCAGTTACCTCCTGGGTGAACTTAGGGAGGTTGTATGAGTCCAGGAATCTGTCCATTTCATCTTCATTCTATAGTTTTTGGGTATATAGATTTCTATAGTAGTCAAACATAATGTTTTGTATTTCTGTGAGTCTGTTGTATCTCTCCTTTTCATTTTTACTGAGTTTATTAGAGTCCCTTGAATTCCTTTGAGTTCTTGTCAGCCTGCCAGAGAGACTGTCAATTTTGTTGATCTTTTCAAAAACCAGCTTCTGGTGTTTTGATCTTCCATATAATTCTCTGTTTTCCATTTCATTTAGTTGAGCTTTGATCTTAGATATCTCTTTTCTTCTGCTCGGATTAGAATTGGTTTGGTCTTCTTTTTCCAATTACTTGAGTCTATTCATTAGGTTGTCAATGTCTACTCTTTCTGTTTTTTGCATGTGAGCATTTATTGCTGTTAGTTTTCCCTCTTGATAGCTTTTGCTGTTCCACAAGGTTTTGCAAGATGCGGTTCCATTGTCATTTTGTTTAAAGAAATTTTTGATTTCCCTCTGAATTTATTCCTTGACCCAATAGTTATTCAACAGTAGATTGTTTAGTTTCCATGATTTAGTGATGGTGTGTATTTCTGTTAGAATTGAACTCTAATTTTATACCACTATGGTCAGAGAAAGACACATGGTATTATTTTATTCTTGAATTTTTTGAGATTTGCTTTATGGCCTAGTATGTGATCAATTTTGGAGAAGAATCCATGGGCTGCTGAGAAGAATGTAAATTCAGCTTATTTGGGTGGAATGTTCTGTTAGATCGTCAGATCTTTTTGGTCAATAGCTTTGTTTAGGTCCCTTATTTCTTTACTTAATTTCTGTTGGGGATCTATCCAGTCATTTTAGTTGTTGTGAAGTCCCCTGCTATATTTGTAGTATTGTTTAAAGTAGTATTTACTCAGACAAGGTTTGCTTTATGTAATTGTGCTCGCATTGGGTGCATAAATATTAAGAATTGTTAGATCTTCTTGTTGGATTTTCCTTTCACCATTATAAAGTGGCCATCTTTATCCTTTTTACTTTTGCTATTTAAATCTAATGTTGCCACAAATAATAGCTACCCCTGCCTTTCTTTAACTTCCATTTGCCTGGATGATAGTTTTCCATCCCTTGATCTTCAGCTGGGTGGCATCTTTATGGTTTAGATGTGTTTCCTGTAGAAACTTACTAGGCTTATGGAATACTAGGCTTATGGAATTTTATCCACTCTGCCAGCCTATGTCTCTTCAGAGGACAGTTTAAACCATTTATGTTTATTGAGAGGATTGAAATTGGAGTAAGATTTCCATTCATATTGATGGGTGAAGTCCTGTTGCTTTGTCTTAGACCTTGAGCCATCATGAAGTTCAAGGTCTAGACTTTAATTCTTTGAGAATTTTATTTTGAGGAAATTCTCAGGTCTGAGAATTTCCTGTAGGGCTGGTCTGGTCTTTGTATATTCCTTCAGAAATTGCTTGTCTGAGAAGGATTTTATTTTGCCCTCATAGATGAAACTAAATTTTGCCGGATAAAGGATTCTAGGTTGGGCTTTGTTCTGTTTTAGAAGATTAAGGATAGGCACCCACTCCCTCCTGGCTTGTAAAGTCTCAGATGAGAAGTCTGTGGTTAGTCTGATAGGCTTTCCTTTATAGGTTATTTGTTGTTTTCGCCTTGCTGTACAGAGGATTGCTTCTTTCACATTTACTTTGGTCAGCTTAATAACTGCATGATGAGGTGATTGCCTATTCACATTGTGTCTCCCAGGAGTTCTGTGCACTTTTTGTATTTGGATATCCAGCTTTCTAGCTAGGCCCAGCATATTTTCCTCCAGTAAGTGGTAAAATAAGTTTTCCAACCCTTGTGAATGTTCCTCTTCCCCTTCTGGAATCCTGATCAATCTGAGATTTGACTTTTTTTACATAATCCCACACTTCCTGTAAGCTTTGGTCTTGTCTCTTGTTTCTGTGTACCCTTTCTTCCTCTGATTTGTTTAGCATGTAGGTATAATCTTCAAGCTCTGAGATTCTTTCCTCAGCATGATTTATCCTGATTTTGAGACTTTCCACTGTATTATGGAGTTCCTTGAATGTTTCCTTCATTGCCAGAATTTCTGCTTGGTTTCTCTGAAGGTTGCTTTTAATTATATCATCTGAATATGAAGTTCCTGAATGTGTCCATTTTTGACCTTATAAATGAATTTGTAGAAAAAGAGCCAGAAAAATCATATAATCAACCAAGATATCACATTAACAAAATATTGTTATTTGTTGTATTACATAAAATCATGAAACCAAAAAAATATATTTTTTTACAATTTACAAGTTTATTAGTTATATATTACTATTATTCCATTTCTTTTTTTTTAAGGAAAAAGATTTATATGTCAGTATATCTCTAATTGAATTTTTCTCTCTGCTGTTTGAACCATGGGCCTCACATTTACATTTTGAACAAGGTCCTACAAACTACATAGCTGACCCTGCCCCTCCACCATCACTCATCTCCAAGAAGTAGGCACCTCACACATACTTCCTTCTACCACCAGTGATGTCTTCTCTTTGGTTATGTTGTGTCTCCTGATTAGAATGCCCTTCCTGCCTCCTCTCCAAAAAAATCCTATCACATTTTGCTCATACATTTAGTATAGCTTTAGTATTTTGTGCCATCATTAACTATTTGTGTCTCTCTCCCTTTTGCTGGACTCTGATCTCTTTAAGAGCAAAGACTTTACTTCTTCAATAGTTACTATTTCTTAATACCTAGTACTGTACTTTTTATGTTTTAGAAGCTTAATGAATATGATTAAACACAGAGATTAAGGAGAACACCAGTCACCCAAATTAATAATGAGATGCAGATAATTTGGCTGAAGCATTATCAGAGTTTCTTCAGCTAATCTGGTTGACTCAGCAAGTGTCCTGTTTTACTGCTTTATTCCTGGAGAAGTGACATGGAATTTAAGACCTGAAGGATAAGGAAAGTTCATCAGCAAAAGAAGATTGGGGATAAGAGCACAGCATCAAAAGCAGAAGGGATGCCAGGTGCAAAGGCCCTGAGCAAGAGAGAGCACAGTGAGTGTCAGGAACTCTAGGGTTTTCCTCCTCAAGGTATGCCCTTATTCCAAGAAGATGGCCTTCGTAGAGAGGGAAGAATTTTTTTTCTTTTTTCTTTTGTCTAAGAATATAAGATTAGCTATTTCCCCTCCCGGGACCTCCAAATAAACTTCCAGGATCCATCTCTGGGTCGACAATGACAGTGAAATATTTCACAGTCAAAATGTTTAATGTAATGCTTAGAATTTTCTTTATCATTAAAGTTTAGATAACTAGATAAGTGTCTGGATCATCTCCAGGTATTAGCTTATTAGCTAATATTATTGGTCCAGTTAAATGGTTCACTGGATATTAGTCTGCATAACAGAGGTTCATTTCTGGGTATGTGGTAGAATGGTGTGACTTAGATCTGTCATCAGAGATGGTTATCCTAACTTCCATATCTGGAGTACAATAGGAAATGGGTAGGAAGGAAAAATCATGTCAATTCCATTTCTATTACCAATGGAAAAATCTTAAAGGCAATGCCTACAGAGAGGAACCCAAGTGTGGTTTTCTAGATCTAATGTGAAGCTCATATATCTTTCTGAGTTGAACACAGGTGACATATCTTAAGAGTTTCCCTATTTTTTTTTAGAATTCAGAACTTTAATTATATTTTAAAATGTGATTGGTTGTAGTATAGGTTGATTCTTTGATTTTTGCAACTGTACATAACTAATAACTATAAAAATTTGGAAAATTCAAAAAAGGATTTTATGCTGTATTGGGTTACAGTCTTCTCTATTTTTTTCTGATCCTTGAGGTGGTTTCATTCTTATATACATTTTCTTAGGCGTCCCAGGGAATCAGCCATAGGAAAAAAAACACATTTATAAATGTGTTCTTTTTATTTTTGGCTCTATAGCCTTTTTTCCAGCATATGGCAAAGTTTCTGTGAAAGAGGCCCTAGAAAGTTGGGGAAACATGAAAATATAGCTAAATTTAAATATACATAAAGTACAAGGTGTATTTATAAATATATAAATAATTTTCTCAGTAGATATACTTCTATTAATAATCAACAGAAGGAAAGAGTGGTGAGTATGGCAGTTTATACTTAATATATTAATACAAAAGAAAGGCCTAATGAGAGAGAAAGAGTGAAAGTAGATCAAGGAGTTTATTTCCTACAGCAAAAAAAGAACTACTATGTGTTATATGCTGAGGTTGTCAAAGGACTCTAAAGATGTACCCTGTGAAATTTGAGAAGTTATTAATGAAATAGTATAGCAAGGTAAACTACATTAAAATATTTTTTCCAACCATTCCAGAAATCATAGTCCAAGTTGGCATGTCAAGGCTGGTAGGTCATGCACTTTTGACTGTAGCTCAGATTGCTGGGAATCACATCCTCCTTGTTAGTTTCAGATGACAGCTCACGATACAGGAGAGATCCACTTGTAAAGAAAGAGAGAAGAGGGAGAGGAAGATTTAGCACTGCATTTTCACGGGGCAAGAAATTCCAACCTAGCTCCAATGTGTGTTGGCCTGTTGCCTGGGATCTTGTTAAACACATGACCATCACTCTTCTGCCTATTTCTGGCCTGGATTTGTAGCTTGGTGGCTAAACAAACCCCAGTTGGAGCTAAAATTAGGCAGCCAAATTGTGACAAGACATACTTGTCTTCAACAAAGAAGAGATGTCTATTTAAGAAAAATTGGATCTATCCGCAGGTCAGAGTAAGTCACATGTATTTTAGCAGACTGTTTCTATTATGCAGAAATTCAATTCAAATGGACCAATGAACCAGACTGCTTTCTGGCTTCCAGCTGTCTATTATTGCCACAGTAGCCCAGTTGTGTTGTAAATGGTCATGTATGCCTGTAGGAGAATTTAAGGAGTAGAATAAATATAAGAAACTATTGACACGGATGATGAAAAGCAGATCAAATAGATATAACCATATCTTTCAGATAATGTAATTTAATTATTTCAATGATGTCAAAGTTTGAAGGGCTTTTATATTGTGGGAGAATTTGGGGTGTGTTTGGGGTTTGAGAGTTAAGGCATTCTCTTCCATTTGACTAGTATCTGATAGAAGAGGGATCATCAAATTTATAGCAAAGGACAGTAAAAATAATTCTTTATATTTGTGTAATTAAAATATTTTACATATATTTTTTCAAACTTCTCACTAAATATTTTTTGACTGCCCATTTCATGGGTATGGTATTATGGAGGAAATCAGAGATCAGAATTTTTTTTCCATCAAGGAACATAGATATATTTAGAGAGGCAAGAAACAAATGCAGGAAAAATTAAACAACAGCAACAACAACAACAACAAGGACATAATTCAGAAGTTTCATATAACAGCAGCACAGATAATTACAAGGTAGTGAGTGTTTAACTGACTGATTTTTTTTTTTTTTTTGAGACAGAGTCTCACTTTGCTGCCCAGGCTAGAGTGCCGTGGCATCAGCCTAGCTCACAGCAACCTCAAACTCCTGGGCTCAAGCGATCCTTCTGCCTCAGCCTCCTGAGTAGCTGGGACTACAGGCATGTGCCACCATGCCCGGCTAATTTTTTTTTTGTATATATATTAGTTGGCCAGTTAATTTCTTTCTATTTATAGTAGAGATGGGGTCTCGCTCTTGCTCAGGTTGGTTTCGAACTCCGGAACTCAAACGATCCGCCCGCCTCGGCCTCCCAGAGAGCTAGGATTACAGGTGTGAGCCACCGCGCCCGGCCTTAACTGACTGATTTACTGCTACATGCCATCTATAGAGGAATTTAGAGGACAATAATCACTTCTGTTTTCTGTGGATTATGGAGGAGAGATTTTCAAGAATGTGTAGGTGGAGATTGATGGAGAGAGTGAAGTAAACAAAACAGGGAGGCTAAGAAAGGGTGGAGGGAATGGTGAATACCTTTCTCTGATGGAAGCTTATATGGGGAAGCGGTTGTCTTCATGTAGGACACATATATGGAGGTGCACAGTTGTATATTTATTTGAAAGGTGGAGCCATTGGAAGTCCAGAGGAAGCCTGAAGACATAGAGCTCATTTTACCTGTGCAGGGACTCAAGCCTGGGCAACAAGATTCAAGCTGTTACTCTTTTCATCATTTAATACTTAAAATCACAGGGAACACACAAGCAAGTGAAAAACAAACCAAACAAAATCAACCACATTAACACCTCCCCTCCAAATATAATCACTCCAGAGTTAAAGAATCTATTCCCTTGGTAATGCTAGATTGATTTCTTCCTTCTAAGACTTAGCTGTGAACCATCCCTTTCTCTCGACACCTCCAGAGTTCAAGCACAATCTATCACTAGGCTTCCAGAATGGGCACCTTCCCATAGGTACCCAACACTTGTGTTACACTGCAACCTTCAAGCTTGAGATACTTTCCACCTGCAATAAATTATTTCAATACTTTACCATTTGGAGTTGTGGCCCGTAATCCCTGGCTGCAGAACTCTGCTGCCTCCTCCCACCTCCCACCATCGTCCCCCTACCTCCCACCATCCTCCCCCCAGTCTGTGGAAAATTTTCTTTCATGAGACTTAGGAACTGGGAGCTGCACAGCAGGAGGTGAGTGGCAGGCAAGCGAAGAAGCTTCATCTGTATTTACAGCCACTCCCAATGCTTGCATCACTGCTGCCTGAGCTCTGCCTCCCCCGTCCCTTCTCTGTGGAAAAGTTGTCTTCCATGAAACCAGTCTCTGGAGCCCAAAAGGCTGGGGACTGCTGATGTAGAGGATTTAGTTCACTCTCAGTAGTGACCAAGAAGGACACAAGACATTTAAATATGTTGGGCTAAAAACATACCATGTTTTAAAAGTTCCTATGTGTTTCTAGCCTTATGCATGAAGAAATATATGAATGGGGAGTTGAAAAAGGTTTTGCTGGGCATCTTTCATTAATCAAAATTCCATAGTTTGATTATATATCCAGATAGAAATAAAAATATGTTTATTCCATGAAATGGCTATTGTCAAGATTGCAGTGATCTGGTTAAAACCAATGGACACATTTTAATGCTGATTTTATTTGATCTCTCAGAGGTGTTCAATTGATGAAACTCCCTTCTTTTTGAAATATTCTTTTCCTTTGGCTGCTATAACACCACACTCGCTGAGTTTTCCTCCTACTTTGACCCCTTTTTCTCTTTGCAGGGCTTTTCTTCACTTGGGGTTGTGTCCTGGGCATTTTTATACACCTTCCCCAGACAATCCCATCTATTTCCATTATTTAAATTAACTTCTCTATGTCCATGACACCATTAAGTTTATCACTAATCCACACATATATTCAACTTTCTTCTGGAAGTCTGTTTGGATGGCTCATGAGCACCTCATTGTGGCTACCCTCCTGTCTCTGCTCTTCTTCCAGAGTACCTTAGCTCTGTGAATTGCACTACTGTCTGCCAGTCATCTATGCCCCTCTGTCAGGATGTGGCTTTTGTCCTGTTGATTCCTTGTCACTTCCATCCTCATATCTGGTGGGCAGGAAGAGAGCTAGCATGCTCACATCAAAGTTATACTCTGGGAGAGATCACTATTAGGAGAAGAGAGGTGTGTTTAGACTGTAAGTTCTTTATTCTGAGAGATACCAGGATCTAATACTGTTATCCAGGGTAGAGACAAAATGTGGTTTTGCTAGCCTCTGACAAAATGGGTTGGAATTTCACTGGCCTTAGCCACAAGGAGCAGATGCAGAGTGGAGCCTGGAATAAGAAGGAAAGAGACTCTGGGCATCTATCGGAGAAATTTTTGAATTGAAACAGTAAAAATACATTTCGAGCAGGCGACTAACTCCCAATAAGGCTAGTTTCTTTCTGATGATGCACTAAGACCGCATGGCTTTTAAACACCATGGGTCATGTAAGAGCAGGGTCACACTAGAAATCTTTGAGTCACTATTGAGCCTTCCTTGGTCCTCATTTCAAGCATTCAATTGGCTATTAAAATTTACAAATTCTTTCTCTTAAAGATTTTCAACTCAGTCCAACTCTTTGCAATAATCAATAACAATCTCTCATTCCAGGGCAAAATCAGCTGCCACTGAATTCCCAGCACAGCATCTTAACTGGCTTCACTACCTTTAGCTTGTATCTCCTCCAAACCCCATGTGGCAGCCGCCACCTGTAAGCGGGCCATTCCCATGCTTCAAATTCTCCTTCAGCTTCCCACTGTCTGGATCAAAAACATTCTGAAATCCTTTCAGGTTGTCAGATGTGCTCTCCCCTCTTCTTAAAATCTTTTGACATTTTGCCTTATTAGCCTAGAAGATAAGTCGCTCTGTTTTTATTTCACTAACTCCAACTCATGTGTCAGGTATATTCCTGTGACTGCCTTTGAGAGTCTTTCCTGATGCCTTCCACTCCCTAACCTACCTTAGATTAGATGTCCCTGTTCTATAGCAATTTTCATGTCCCCTCATAGCACCCATACTTGTTTTTAAGTTATTTTTAAAAGGCAGTCTTCTTCACTGGCCTAGAAGGTCTGTGGAGTCAGGAACCGTGCTATCTTGCTCACTACAGCGTATCCATGCCAAGCAGGGTTCCTGAGAGTTGATGAATGAACACTTGTTCTGCTAAATCCAAGGGAGACCCCACAAGTTATGCTGTGAAAAAAATGTAAACCATTTTATATGAGCTTTGAAATAACCTTATAATGAATGTATGAGGTATTTAAAATAACTACACGATAATTAAAATAATCTAATCAAAGTACCTAAGCAAGGTCAAAACTTCTACTGACCTTGCGTATTTGCAGCCACACTGAACAATTATATTCCTTTATTCAGACTATTTAATGAGCACCTATGTACACTAGGCTTTATTCTAGGTGTTAGGGCTACGTAAGTGAACTCAAGATTTTTCAGGTAGCTATTACCTGTGTTTCATGGGACTTCCATGCTAATGAGGACAGATAGACAATAAACTAATAAGTATAAATGAGATAATTTTATTAAATAAGTGCTGTGAATAAAACACAATAGGGAACTATAATAGAGGGGGAGGTTGGAAGGCTGTTACCTAGGAAACGAGACCTGAAAGATGAGAAGGGTGGGGGAAGATAAGGCAGAAGCAAGAGCAGGGCCTCTTCCAAGAGAAGTAGGTGCTATTTTTCTTAAAGGTCTACTTTATAGAGGAGGAAACTGACTTAGAGAATAAGTGATTTTTTCATGATCATGTAGCTAGCAAATGTCAAAGCCAGGCTGTTGGATTAGAGAGCCTTTGCTTTCACCTCCAGCTGCGCAGCCGCCATTGGTGTTTGGCATCTTCCACACCCTCGGGACCAGGGCCCTGGCATGGCCTTTGGCTGCTCTCTGTGCTACTGAAGTGTTCTGTGCCCCGAAATTGCCTCTCATTTCCTACCACGGCGTCCTCTGACCTCAGAGCTCCCATTCCTCTCCTGTGCCAGAGCTCAGCCAAGAACCTTAGAGAAACAGAATCTGATTGATTGAACTCCCACAAAGTTGTGACAGTTCTTGCCTGAAAAAGGTGTTTTCATTTTAAAAATGGAATTTTATTTAGGAAGGGCCCTGCATTTCAGAGCTTTTCCATAGTGCTTTTGATATTAAGAAGCTCATTTAAACCTCCCTCTTTGCAGTACATTTTAAAAAATATCCATTTTTTAGCTTAGGGAACTGAAGCTTCAGTAAGCTAAAGTTGTTAATCCAAACAAACTGCTTACTGGTGGAATTTCAAGCAGGCAGAATGAAGGGAATACTGTCCCCAGTGGATGGATGTGGCTTTTAGGCATATGGCCTGCTCTACTTGTATATACATACAGCAACTGCTGGCCCAATCCCATTTTTCTACTTCCTCTTAACAAGTAGGGACAATTTCTTCACCAGCTGCCCGTGTCTCTGTTGACACTCCCTGATGCCATGCTCCTGGTGCCATGGAAAGCTCTCCCCTCTGCACCACCTGCTCAAAACCAGGTTTCCCCTTCAGGCCCTGCTCAAACACAACAGCCCTTGCAAACATTTCCAACCTCAGCTGTTAAACCAGAGTCCATCAGATGGGTAAATACCCGTGACAAACAGGTGAGTAAATTATTTTGCACATCACCTCTCTTCCCAGTTATTCTTGCCATCTCCTTCCCACCTTCCTGTTTATTAGACTCTTCCCTTTGATTCTGTGCCACAAAAACCAACACTCAGTTACATGGCATTTAGTTATTTTCATCTTTAAGCTATTTTAATCTCATTCTCCCAGTTCATGTAAGTTATAACACTTTGCTGTATACTAGCAATCCTCAAGCTTTTTGATTTCAGGACCCTTTTATACTCTTAAATACTATCAAAGAGCTGTTGTTTATGTAGTTATATCTATTGATATTTATCATGTTAAACATTAAAACTGAGAAATTTAAAATATTTATCTATTAATTTATTTAAAATAATACATCCATTATATGTTAATATAAATCACATCTTTTAATAAAATATAACTACATTTTCTGAAACAAAATTTATTTTAGTGAGGAGGGTGGCATTGTTCTACATTTTTTTTTCAAGACTCTTCAATATCTGGCTGAGTGTGGTGGCTCACACCTGTAATCCTAGCACTCTGGGAGGCTGAGGTGAGAGGATTACTTGACCCCAGGAGTTTAAGACCAGCCTGAGCAAGAGCGAGAACCCGTCTCTACTAAAAATAGAAAAAAATTAGGCAGGCAACTAAAAAAAAAAAAGTAGAAAAATTAGCTGGGCATGTTGGTGCATGCCTGTAGTCCCACCTACTTGGAAGGCTGAGGCAGGAGGATCGCTTCAGTCCAGGAGTTTGAGATTGCTGACACCACGGCACTCTAGCCTGAGCAACAGAAACAAAGCAACTCTGTCTCAAAAAAAAAAAAAAAAAGATCTGCTCTGCATTAGATCTGATGTAATATCACATGTGCTGCACTCTCTAGAAAACTCCACTATTTACTCATATAAGAATAAGAGTGGAAAAAGCAAACAGCAACTGAGTAACATTATGAAAATAGTTTTGACTTCATGGAGTCCCCTCGAAATGGTTTCAGAGAGCCCTATGGTTCTCAGAAGCACATTGTGAGAATTATTTCTTTATAATTTTCTTATTTCTATCTTAATGCTTGTTTCTCCCCAAGTAGACGCTCAATATATACTTATTTACTCATAGACATTGAAATGTGATTGAACCTTTTCTGCTTGTGATTTTCTTTATTGAGTTATTCTTCCACATAACAGGATACAGAACCCCATCAATTCCCAGGCAATTCAGCATGATAATGGTTTACTTTGCAAAGCAATGAATGTATGTGTGTAGAGGGGTGGCAACAAAATGAAACATAAACCTTGCACTGTGTCATGTGAGGAGGGCAGTGCATACTCGAGCAGGAGCATGAGAGGGTGCAGGGAAGGTGGAATGGGGCCAGGGCTTGGTGTGTTAGTGCAAGAGGTGCTCAGTCAATGTGATATTAATGCTCAAGAGCATAGCG